TTTTTATTTCCTTTATTTTTATTTCCTTTATTTTTATTTCCTTTATTTCCCTTTGCTGGTTACAGCCCAAGCATAGTTACCCTTGTTGCAGTTTGCCTGCTGGTCTGAAGGGTTTGCGAAGGGGCTTGACGTTCTGGTGGTGAAATTGTGCCAGGGGATAGAGCATCTCTTCTGAAAACACTGCCCTGCAGAGAGGGGAAGGAAACTGGTGTCTTGGCTTTAATCCCAAGTGAGCGCACAGACTTGAGCCTGGGTTTAATTCCCTGCTTTCTGCTTATTGTGTTTTCTTTTTTTTTTTTTTCTCTCTCTCCTCTCCTCTGAAAACTTCTTTGTGCAACGTGATGACTTCGCGTGCACTATAATTTATACAATTTGGGCTGCATGGAGTATTTTTCTCTAGGCAGCTTTTGCCAAGAAAAGCTGGAAATGCAGCATGGTTCATGTGGAGGCCTTGGCAGTTGCGCTGCCCTGTAGAAAACTTGGAATACCTGCTCCTTGAGCAGCATCTCTCCCGTTGAGGATTGAGACGGGAGGTCACTGTTACCAGTGCGAATGATGAGTCACTAGGACAGACTAGAGGGAAAAAGACTTCCCTCTTATCAAGCACAAGTTATCAGGGTTTATCTGGAGGCCAAATGGGTGCCGATCTCTGACCTAAATCACGGTGAAGATCGCCCTGAGGTTTGCATCTGCGAAGGCACCAGCCCGTTAAACTTTGTCTTGTTTAGAAACTGCAAGTAACGTTTTTAATGGGCCAGAAATTCTCGCGGGGAGTTAAAAGTTCACTGCACTTTGATACGGCGCGTCCAAGCTCGCATCACATGGGCCGAGCYGGCTTGGCCGGTGGGGACAAGGGTGAAGGGGCTGCAGGAACATGAAACCGCTGCAGGAAGCCCTTGCAGCCAGTTAAGGAAAGTCACAGCAAATACATTAGCGTTTAAAAAAAGGCTTTAAAAGATGCATTTCTAACCCAGCTTTCTTGTCTCTAAGAAGCTAAGAGCTGCTCTGAACTGAGARGGGCAAGTTTGGGTTCTTAAGGTTGTACTCACAAATGCAGATTCTTGATCCTCTTTGAATCAGCGTTCATGGAAGAAATAATCCCGTCCACTCATTCTGCTTTGGATGCTCTGGACTGTTTTTCAGATATAAAGTATTCTCTGTAGATTTCATAGCCAAAGGGGAATTTTGTTCAAATCTTGGCTTTGGAAGAGAAAGAGCAAAATACTGTGCAAAATGTCATTGCTGGATAGAATCT